ATTGGAGAATCACTAAAACAATGTAATAGCTTAGATTAAATTGGAATAATATAAATAGCCACATTAGGGCTTCTCTGTTTGATATGATTTTACTTGAAAACTAGATTTGTGATGAGCTTTACATTTTGCTTCAAATATATGATAGGCTTTAGAAATTAATAATTGCATAACTTAAGGCTTGTAAATTATATAATGATAAATCTTGAAAAATTATCATTGATAAGATGAAAAGAATTAATATAGCTTTTTAGTTTTAGAAAAATCATGAATCCTATAATTGAAACTATACTTTGCTTATAGGCAAAAACAAATTAAAAGTTTTACAATTATTTAATTTTAGAGTTTTATTTTGTCCTAGTTGTGCAAAGCTTATTCATCAATTATAGGATTAATTTTATTCTTTATATCAGGCATTTTGTAATCAAAAAATGGATCCTCTTCAATTTAAAAAAGATGCACTTTTTTGGTTAAATTTATTTTTAATACCTTTTCAAAATATTTCAACTAATCCAAACAATACTATTGATGGTTTATACCTTCCAAGTCAAGTTATGCTATATATATATATATTTGTATACCACAGATAGGAATTAATGCAAAAGCATAAAAGGTGGGAAATTAAAGCATTCTCATGTGTAGCTGTAGAGCATAAAAATTATAATTAAATGTTTTTGTTTTTTTACAAAACTTTAAAAAATGGTGGAAACTCTTTATATTGCAAATTATCTATAGTTGAAATTTTAAAACACGAAAATTGTATTCTTTATTATATTTATAACAATATTTAACGTCTATTTAATCAAAACAAAAAGCTTAAAATATGTTAAATGAGTTTTTAGAGATATTATTATTTTTTTACTTTAGATTTTAATGTTAATATAATAGAAAAAAAGAATACAGTAAATAAAATAAGATGATTATAAGAAGTCTTGTGAAACTATAAACTATATAAGATCTCTAATAAATATAATTTTTTCTAAACTTTATTTTGTATAGTACATATAACTATAATAAATATAAAGTTTATACTTGTATAAGAATCATTTAAATAACTATAAAGTATCTGTTAATAAGATTATAACTATCGCTATTTAGGTGAAGATTTAGCTTATTTACAATTTAGAATTGTATTTACAACAATAATCTGGTAAACTATTTGAAGTTTTCAAAGTTATTATATAACTTAACTTTTAAACATTTATATTTAGATCCAACTATTAAGACA